GGATGCTGAAAATTCAGCTTTGATCACAGCAATTAGTAACATTTTATCATATATTCACATAGAAAGCAGTTATTTTAAATAGTAAAAATATTTCACAATTTTACTGCTTTTTCTGTACTTCAGATCAAATAAATGCAGGCTTGGTGAGCAGAAGAGACTTCTTTAAAAAACATTAAAAATCGTACTGTTCAAAAACATGACTGGTAGTGTAAGAGCAAAACAGGTCATGTGCGTCGGGACGGTTCTGTGAGACGGAGGCAGTGGGTGTGAAATGGTGCACATTCTCTTTAAGGGTTTTTCTCCAGGATGGCGTGATGGGAGCATGACGCTTTCATGATCTGATGAACAGCGTTCAAGTATTAGAGGAGCTGTGTGGAGGTACAGGAGGAGATGAGGGGGGTCTGTGCTCTTATAGACTGCAGGCCAGCGCAGGGCTCTTGTCCTGAGGGTCGGCCAGTCGACGGAGACTGGCACTGGAATAGCCTTCATCGCTGCAGCTGCTGCGCAAACTTCCCCGCTCGTCCGAGTCGCTCACGCTGCTCATGCTCCACTCCAGGTCTCCCAGAAGATAGTCTGTTCCTTCCACGTCAACATCCAACTCTTCTGTGAAGCAAACACAAGGAGAAATGATCAGGGCTGCTCGGAGGCAATTTATCTCTGTAGAGCTGCAGAGCGTCAGAGTCAAAACAAGAAATCGTACAAAAACGGTGAAAGATTTAGTAATTGTGATTAAATCTTTTAACTTACAGACCTAATATGTTAGTATACTGTAAATGCAAAGTAAATCACATTGGGAGAAAATGACATTTACATTATATTTAGCAGACGCTTTTATCCAAAGCGACTTACAAATCAGGACAATAGAAGCAATAAAAACTAACAAAAGAAAAAAGTGCTATGACAAGTCTCAGCTAGTCTAACGCAGTGCATTTATTATATATATATTTCAATCATGACAACTCTCGGAACATTTTAGCATGGTGATGGATATGACAATGTTGATGTATTTGGTCTTGGCGGAACAGATCTGCTACGCTGCTGCTGGTTATTGGAATGTTGGCCAGCCATATAAATGCAAGGCAGTAAGCTCATTGGCTGCATATGCAGCATGAACCAATCAGCTTGTGCCAAGCCGTTTAACTCTCTGAATATCATCAATGAATAACACCCCGTCAGAATGCGCCATCTAGAGTTTCATGACTGAACTAATGCTGAAGAACTATTGTTCATTCTTAGTTCATTAACTAAAGTAGTTAACTAATGAAAGGTTCATTAGTTAACTACTTTAGTTAATGAACTAAGAATGAACAATAGTTCTTCAGCATTGTAAAGTGTTAGCAATATTAATATAAATTCTGTCCAGTTTTATTGTGTTACTTTCAGTAAAAGTGTGGTTATTTTATTGGCTGGTGTTTTTTAAAATTCAGTATCATTAAAATTGTGTTAAATGTAAAAAGTCTTACAAAATTACTTTATATTATTTAATAAAATAATAAATAATCATTACAAATTCTGTACAACTTTTTAGTAAAATTTCAAGTTGCACTGTTGAAAATACCTGTAGTAGCACAGCAGTGCATCCCTGTTTACATTTAATTAAGGTGGACTAGATTAGACTGTAATACACATATTATTGTTTAAAAAAGGACCCTATACAAAAAAAAGAATAGGGTTAAAATACAGGCATGTGGCTTAATTTCTTTTTATTAATTCACCATCTGTATATTGTTAGAAAATATATATATTTTAAATAAATGCTCTTCTTTTTATCTTTTTATTCATCAAAGAAACCTGAAAAAGTATCACAGGTTCCAAAGAAATATTAAGCAGCAAGTTTCAACACTGATAATAAATCAGCATATTAGAATGATTTCTGAAGATCATGTG